AGGTCTATCTAACCTCCACCCCTACCTTATACTATCATCCATATGCCTATCTAATAGCCGCTTAAATACCCCTAATGAGGCCGACTCCACTACCCTCTCCGGCAATGCATTCCATGCCCCTACTACTCTCTGAGTAAAGAACCTACCTCTGACGTCTCCCCTATATCTACCTCCAATCACTTTAAAACTATGTCCCCTCGTAATAGCTACCTCCACCCTAGGAAAAAGTCTCTGGCTGTCTACTCTATCTATACCTCTGATCATTTTGTACACCTCTATCAAGTCACCTCTCATCCTTCGTCGTTCTAAAGAGAAAAGCCTTAGCTCTCTCAACCTTTCCTTGTAAGACCTTCCCTCCATTCCAGGCAACATCCTGGTAAATCTCCTCTGCACCTTTTCCAACGCTTCCGCATCTTTCCTGTAATGAGGCGACCAGAACTGAACACAATACTCCAGATGTGGCCAAACCAGGGTCTTGTATAGCTGGAGCATAACTTCACGGCTCTTGAACTCAATCCCTCTATTAATCCCTCTATTAATGAAAGCTAAATATGGATGTAAACTCCCACTGCTGTTGTTATCTACAAATCACACCCTGCATGGCATCTTGCAAGAAATTCATTCCTCTTAAGAGTGGAGGCCTGTCAACGCCTATCTTTTCCATAGCTCAACCAGGCAGTGGAAGAGGGAGCATTGGTGTGTGATCGAGCTTGTGTGGGAAGAACGAAAGAGGCATTGAATTGAGGAGAAAGACTGTAGATGACACCAGCATTGGGGGTGTAGGGGACAGTGAAGGGGGTTACCTCAGAGTACAACAGGACCTGGATCAGATGGGCCGAGGAGGGGCAGAGGGAGTTTAATTTAGATAAATGTGAGGGGCTGCATTTTGGGAAAGGCACATCAGGGCAGGATTTATACACTTCATGGGAAGGTCCTGGGGAGTGTTGCTGAACAAAGAGACCTTGGAAGTTCATAGTTCCTTGAAAGTGGAGCCGCAGGTAGACAGGGCGGTGAAGATAGTGTTCTGAGGAAGGGTCACTCAACGTTAACTCTGATTTCTCTCCACAGATGCTACCAGACCTTGCTGATCTTTTCCAGCAACCTTCTGTTTTTGTTTTTGTTTGGGACGCTTGCCTTTATTGGTCGGTGCTTTGAGTGTAGGAGTTGGGAGGGCCATGTTGCGGCTGTATTGGTGAGGCCGCTTTTGGAATACTGCGTTCAATCCCGGTCTCCCTGCTACAGGAAGGATGTTCTGCAACTTTGAAAGGGTTCAGAACAGATTTACAAGGATGTTGGAGGGTTTGAGCTACAGGGAGAGGCTGGGGGCTATTTTCCCCGGAGCGCTGGAGGCTGAGGTGTGACCTTATAGAGGTTTATTAAACCATGAGGGGCATGGATAAGGTGAATAGCTTTTCCCCCAGGCTAGGGGAGTCCAAAACTAGAGGGGCATAGGTTTAAGGTGAGAGGTGGAAATGGACCTGAGGGGCAACTTTTTCACGCAGAGGGTGGTGCTTGTATGGAACGAGCTGCCAGGGGAAGTGGTGGGGGCTGGTACAACATTTGAAAGGCATCTGAATGGGTACATGGATAGGAAGGGTTTACAGGGATAGGGGCAAATGTCAGCAAATGGGACTGGATATGTGGGTCGGCACGGACAGTTTGGGCCGAAGGGTCTGTTTCCGCGCTCTATAATTCCCAACAGGTTCCCCAATCATTTTCCACCCTTAATATCTTGCTCAGAAAGGACAAAAACTAAACAGGAATTGAACGATGGGGGAAGGAAGTCCTGACTGGTGCTATTGAACTGTGCTTCTGTGCGAGGAAGGGAAACCTGGCAAGGATTTCCTTCCAACCTGTCCCCGAAGATGTGGGAGAAGGGCTGGGGGATGAGTTCTGAGTCAGCAACTCAATCGAATCTCTTGTCTCTCTTCCCACAGTCGCCATGGGATAGCGGAGGGGGTGGTCCTTTCCTTACCATCTGTGCCCACTTGTGAGCCCCTCCCACCCCCCACACACAACCCCGCAGCCCCTCCCGCCCACCACAACGCCGCGGCGAAAGGAACCACTGAGGAGGCCGAGCGAAAGGGGATAGAGCAATGCGGGTTTGTTTTTATTCTGACCAAAGCAAAGTCACTGCACGCGAGGCCCGGCTATTCGACCGCGGGAGGCGTGTTTAGGAAGCCGGGTGTGGGGTGGAAAGGGAACGGCGCTTGGGGATCGGGGGATTGGGGGGAATTGGTGATATGGGGGTGGGGGAGGACAGAGCTATCCTCCTCGAACGCGCCCACACACCCGACCCCCCCCAAACCTTCTCCTGATATCCCACGCCCCCCCACCCAACCCCAACACAGTCCAAAAGATTGTTCTCCTCTCTCCAATAGGACACTCGCAAATTCTTCACCATTTCCAGGCAGTGGATGGGGTTGGGGGTTGGGGGTTGGGGGTTGGGGGTTGGGGGTTGGGGGTTGGGGGGGTTGTGGTGGGGGGGTTGTGGTGGGGGTTTGGGTGAGGGGGTGGCTCAATCGGGCAGGAGCCTGGCAAGACGCCGTGCCAACTGCCCGCTGGGAAGGGGTGCTCGGGCCAGGCGGGGGCGAACCCCGAACCCCTTCGCCCGCCTCCTGTCGGGTCCGGGGTAGCGGGCGCCCCCCTCTTCCTCCCCGTCCTCCTCCTCCTCGTCTCCGCCCGCCCCCACCCTCTTGACACGCAGGAGGCTTAGGTGTTCGGCCCCCCCTCCCTCCAGGGATCGGCGGAGCCTGCGGGGGGCGGCGTAAACCCCTTGCGCCCCGCCCAGGCCGGGTTGGGACGGCAGCTCTCTCTTGGCGTCCAATTCAGCCAGGATGTGGCCTACCAGGGAGCGCAGCAGCTCCTCCTCTGTGTGTGGAGCCCCCTCCACTTCCTCCTCCTCCTCCTCCTCCTCCTCCTGGTGAGGCCCGTCGTAGTCGAGGTAACCCCCCCGCATCCTGGGCCTGGCCCCCTCACCGACATACGCCGCGCTCCGGCCCAGCCCGTCCCAGGCCCTCGGCAGGCCTGCGGTGTAGGCCACCCCCTGCTCCCGATTGTCTCCTGCCTCCAGGAGGCGCTGGAGGGCACGGCCCAAGCTCCTGGGGCTTCCACGGGCGGGCCCCGAGCTCAGTCCCAGGCCCAAGGCCTGCCTCTCCAGCTGCTCGAGCTCCCCGGGGCTAAGGCCTAGCTGGGCAAGGACGGAGGAGAATCCCAGAGGCGGGTAGAGGGCCAGGCGGAGGCTCGAGTCTCCAGGGGGGTAGGCGAACATCTCTCCTTCATACGGCAGGATATCCCGTCGGAATCTGGTCACCACTTGGCCTGGCTCACCCGATGTCCTGGAGAGGGCCACAGGCTGTGGGAGAGAGACAGAGGGAGACACAGTGAGCCTTCACTATGCCACAGGAAGGGAAGAAATGGGATTGGGCCCTCAGGGTTATTCACTCAGTGGGTCGGTGCCGAGGGAGCGGGTGCTATCGGATGGTCAGTGCCGAGGGAGCGGACGCTGTCGGAGGGTCAGCGCCGAGGGAGCAGGGGCTGTCGGAGGGTCAGCACCGAGGGAGTGGGCGCTGTTGGAGGGTCAGTGCCGAGGGAGCGGGGACAGTCGGAGGGTCAGTGCTGAGGGAGCGGGCACTGTCGGAGGGTCGTTGCTGAGGGAGCAGGCGCTGTCAGAGGGTCAGGGCAGAGGGAGCGGGCACTGTCGGAGGGTCAGCGCCGAGGGAGCGGGTGTACATTTCTAAAAGGCAGCTGGAAGTCGGAGGGTAATTCTGTCGCTCAATCACAATCTCTCCCAGTCGTATGGCAGGCAACAAAACCTGCAGGGAGTGGGGACACACACACAGTCACAGAGTCATGCAGACAGTCTCTCACACACACACACACTCACACACACACACACACTCACACGCACACACACTCACACACACACACTCTCTCTCACACACACACACACACACACACACGCACACACACTCTCACACACACACACGCATACTCACTCTCTCTCTCTCTCACGCACACACACATACACACAGTCACAGAGTCATGCAGACAGTCTCTCTCACACACACACACTCTCACACACACACTCACACACTCACATGCACACACTCTCTCTCTCTCACACACACACACACACACACACACACACACAGTCACAGAGTCACGCAGTCTCTCACACACACACGCACACTCACACACTCACACGCACACACTCTCTCTCACACACACACACACATACACACACATACTCACTATCTCTCTCTCACACACACACACACAGTCACAGAGTCACGCAGACAGTCTCTCACACACACACTCACACGCACACACACTCTCACCCACACACACAGACACACACAGACATACACACACACGCACACACTCAAACACATACAGACAGACACACACACACACACGCACACACACACAGACAGACACATGCGCGCACACACAGACACACACACAGACATACAACAGACACACACACATACACACACACACACAGACACACACACACACATTTATTTTGGGAATAACAATAAAACCCTCAGCTCTCTCTGTCACATTCCCGTTTCGAATTTACAAATCTCTCAGAGATTATGGGCACAGAGACAAAGAAACAGAGGGAACATGAAAGAGTTGGAGAGTTGAGGACAGGATGTGAAAAGCGAGAGATAGCAGAGGATTGATACGGGGAGAGACGTGAGATAGAGAGATGCAGAGAGGAGGAGGAGCCACAAGGAGAAAGGAGAGTCATGAAGAGATGCAGGAAAACAGTAAATAATAAGGGAGGGGGGAGAGAGAGAGGGACAGAGAGAGGCAGGCGACAGAAAGGGGTGAGAGGTGGGAAGAGAGATGGGGGTGGAGAGAGGGAGAGAGGCAAGAGGGAAAGGGAAGAGAGAGAGGGAAAAGATAAGGAGACAGAGGGGAGAGAGAGAGAGAGAGGGAGAGGGGAGAGAGACAGGGTGGGAGACATGGGGACAGAGAGAGGTAATGGGGTGAAAGTGGGGAGAGAGAAAAAGAGAGAGGGGAGGGGTGAGAGAGGGGGTAGAGAGGTTGAGAGAGGGAGGGTGACAGAGGGAAGGTAGAGAGAGGGAGGGAGAAAGGATGGGAGAGAGAAGGGGAGAGATAATGGGGAGAGAGAAGGAGAGAGACAGAGGGAGGGGTTGAGGGGGGGCCAGAGAGAGAAAGAGAGACGGGAATGTGAGAGAGAGGGAGAGAGCATGGGAGAGGCAGAGGAGGGAGAGTGCGTGTAGAGAGAGTGGGGAGAGGGAGGTGAGAGAGGAGGGACAAGGGGAGAGAGGCACAGAGTGTGAGAGATGAAGGGGAGGAAGGGAAAGAGACAGAAAATGAGAGGGAGTGACCGACAGAGACGATGGAGTAAGAGAGACAGTGAGAGAGAGAGAGAGAAAGAAAGAGAGAGACAGGGAAAGATGGGGGAAGGAGAGAGAGAAGAAAACGGAAATGATGGAGAGAGACAGAGATTGAGAAAGAGAGAGTAGAGAGAGAGAAATGAAGACAGGAGGGGTGGGGGTTGGTGAGAGAACTAAAATGGAAATGATGGTCAGAGAAATTGGAGAGACTGACCCCGGGAGACAGAGAGAGAGAGAGAAGGGAAATGGAGAGACAGAGAAGGGTAAACAGAGAGAGAGAGAAGGGTAAATGGTGAGAGAGAGAAGGATAAATGGTGAGAGAGAGAAGGGTAAAC